TTTTTTTTTTTTTTTTTAACATTTTCTAGAAAGTTACTGGTATTAGATGCTGCAGGTTTTGCTCTGATGTTAATGGAAGACAAACTTTAACTTATCGGCATCCTAAATAATCAGTGACAAAAAGTGCTTTATGTCCATTTGTAATTTGGCAAACAGGCACATTTTGTACAGAATCTTGACCCAGATTCCAATTTTCCAATTTCACCCTCAATATTGTCACATTATCTACCACCTTTTTTGAGGTTACATAGAGGTCAGCTGCTTAAAGTCCTTCTCTGTGCAAGAATTCCTGACTACAATATACTATGTACAACGATGCTAAGTGCAGTAGCTCTGTGTTGAACCTGGGAGTCTGTGTGTGAAGTGTGATGGCTGTGGGCAGTAATTTTACTCTTTGCATCTTTTCCCTCATGAAGAAAATTTGACAAAGCTAGGAATACATGATCTACTGACTGCTTGTGCTTTCTGTCCTGTTGAACCAACTTTTTTTTAAGGAATGCTGGTTTTAGATTATACCATTGATTTTGGTGAATAAAGTGTAATCATAACAGACAAAACCAATGGCCATAGTTGGGTTGATAGTGGAAAAAAAAAACAAGACAAAATAAAAGGAACAACAAAAAAAAAATCCCCTATTTGTTCTGAACCATAGTTGAAATCAGGTATTTTTTGTTTGCGCCAGTAACTTACACATCATATTGCGTGTTCTTTTTCATAGCCAAGTCATAACTATAACTAATACAAAACATGTTTCTGTGATTTATGAAATTTTAAGATTATTTTTATTTATTAATTTGTAATCTGTTACTATTTTGTGGCATAGACTGTATATATTTCAATGATCATAGCATCTTATCTCTTAACTCAGCACACTGTAGCTTCTCCAAGAGTAGCGCTCAGACTGGACCAAAATTAGTCGGCTCAGTAATGACTAATCAGAATCACATGTTTGTGAATGTAAGTGTGTGAACGCTTTAAATCCGAATGGCTGATGAACAAAGGGCTTTGCACGGTCAGACATGGAAATACTGGGAAGCTTAACATAACTATCCTACATTAGAACACAGACATTCTGTTTTTTATACTTTTTTCCATGTTCATTTTGCACCGTGGGGCCTCGGAGTATTGCTATTTCCGTTCCCTGTGTGTACATATGGCAAAACTGACAACAAAGCTGACTTGAACTTGATTTTTTTTCTTTGCCAGTGTAAATGTGTACGTTATTGCCATTCTTAATCATTTTCAAACTGACTAATAATAAATGCAGTGACCCTGTTGAGTGATAAAGAAAGGCATGGTCTGAGTTGCACTTTGCTTCTTCATCCTGCACTTACTAAAGAGCAGCTTCCGATTCTTGCATCGTGGGTATAGTTATAGGCAATTAGTGCTCTTATGCAGTCGCCTTGGCAACATACACTGGCTGGTGGTACAGCATGTGGCCTGTGATTGCCAGGGCCAAACAGTTTGTCAAGATATTGTTCTTTGTGAGCAATCTGCTATTGTTATTTGGAAGCCACCGTTTTTCCACAATGCCATTTATTCATCGTTTGTTTTTACTGTTGTCTTGGTAGACATCCATGTTCAGATCCAGGGGTTGTTCTGTGTCCCTAAGCAAGCTATTAACTCACAAATATTCTTCTGTGTTAAAATAAATAAAACATTTACATTTGGTCCTATGTAAGTGATGGATCTGTGCGCTCACACATGTAGCTGTGTGTATGTGGGAAAGCCTTTGTGTAGCTGACTGGGAATAAAAGCACTGACGGGGTAGGCTGGATGGATTACCGCCCTGCAAGCTTGTGTTTACCAAAACATAGCAGCCGTGCCACAGTCCAGGTTAGCAGCAAGCCCACACACAGCCCAATGGTTGGACTCATCCTTCTGTCTTTCCTCTTCTGTCTCTATCTCCATGGCTGCCTGGACCTGATTTACCCCCCTTGCTTCTGTCAGACTGCTGTTATCTCTTCTTTTGTACACCTCCCCCTCACTCTCCACTTGTGTGCGAAAAAACTCGAGGGCCCGACGGATAGATGTAAAAGTAAAACTTTTCCAAAGTAAGATATCTTTTCAACATCCAAACTCCTGAAAGAGTTGTGCTGCATTGGAGTTGCATTTCTCTGGTGAAGGCTTAAAATGATCCTTGTAAACAAAACCCCCTTTCTAGGGTCCAGTCTACCATGACCGATGCCATATGGTGTGGTGCCACTTTTTTTTAGCGAAACTGCACCTCAGCGCTTAATCCAAATAAAATGCCAGTGCAGTTTTCACTGCTAAACCCAATAACATTTACAACAATTCCTAACGGGATATGATGCAAAACAGACTCCAGCGGGTAAAATAATAACTGTAAAATGATGAAAATAATTCCAATACTAAGAGAAAACAAGGGCCGTCAACACAGCAAACAATGTGTCAGTTCAGCAGCAAAATGCATGCTGATAATATTCAACACTGGCACAGAAATGCTTATTAACAACATTTAAATACAATATAGAGTCCACTCTGGCTCAGGGAATGTTCAGGTCACAACGGCTGCCTCTCCTGCAGAATGGCACTTTGAAACATTGAGGCAGTGGTTACTTTTGGTGCTTGTTGTGGCTTGTGGCTCTCTTTCTCTACTTCTCTCCCCTCTCTCTCTCTCTCTCTCTCTCTCTCTCTCTCTCTCTCTCTCTCTCACACTCACTCAAATACACATGTATGCACATGCACTGTGGTAGATGTGTCCCACTGGGGACTGGACTGAGGCAGGCTGGGTTTTTGCTCCTTGTATTTCCACATCAAAGACATGTCATATTGATGGAGCCTGACGCACACTATCCTGCAGCAACACAACCGGTATGGTGGAGCCTTCATCCAACGCGAATACAGAAACAGAATGAACAGGCAAATACACACACACACACACACACACACACACACACACGTACATATATCTTGTACGTGTGCACACAGTCACACCGCCATTCTTTGAATGTCTCTCTGTCAGGTTGTCCGCTACTCTTATCTTTCCTTTAGCTTCTCGCAGTCATTGTAGCCTTTATTGTCTTTCTTTCTCCAAAGATAAATCTTTTTCTATTTCTTTCTCCTTTGCTTTCTTCCTGTCTACCTCTGTCTCAATCAA